ACCCCCTCCTGCACCCACCCCCTGCCCCAGCCCAGAGCCTGCACCCAGCACCCAAACTCCATCCCAGAGCCTGCACTCTGCACCCCTCCTGCACCCTAATCCCCAGCCCAGGGCCTGCACCCCAGACCTCCTCCCCCCACCCAAACTCCCTCCCAGAGCCTTAGGCAGGTGGGGAGTGGAGTTTGGGGGGTGAGGGGGGCGGGTTCTGGGCACCACCAAAATTTCTACAAACCTGCCACCCATGCCTGCACCAATGGAAGAGATTTTTCTCAGTGGGGTAGGAGCACCACCTTCCTGAAAAAAGTTTGGTTCTGTCAATGGAAGCATTCTTCCATCAAACACAACTGCATCTACACTGGGGGTTAGACCAAGCCTAAGATAGGAGTAGTCACAAGGGTGGAGGGGGGATGTCACAGAGGCCTGGCATGGGGAGAAAGGTGGGGTGTCATACCGAGCCCCTGGCATGGAGGAAAAGGGTTACAAGAAGTCCTTGAAAGAGGGGGATGGGAAACTTGTGGGGGAAAATGAAGGGATACAAGGAGCCCCTCGTGTGTGCAAAGCATTTGGCTGACAGAAGTAAAGTGTGCAGCCCTCTAGTCCAGTGGTTCTCAACCTATTTATCGTTGTGGGCTGCATATGTGGCCCACAAAGTGTTAGCTGGGCCGCAGGTTGAGAACTACCTAATTCCCCCCTCCCCAAACCCCTATGCTCAGCGCCCTCTGCCCAGAGACCCCTCCACAGAGTGGGGCCAGGAGCAGAGAGCTGGGTGTGGGGCAGGGACACCAACCGCGGACCCTGCTGCACGGGGACCCCAACCCTCGCTGTTTGGGGCCGAGGGGCAGCCAGGACGCCAACCCCGGACCATGCACCCCCTGTGCAGGGCTGGGTGGCAGCCGGCTGCCCCGGACCCCGCTGCAGGGGGCCAGGCGGCAGCCAGGACCCTGACCCTGGACCCTGCTGGGACCCTGTTGTGTGGGGCCGGGCAGCGGGCGGCTGTCTGGAGCCCACCGCTCGCAGGGGAGCCAGGAGCCTGCCCTGCGGCAGGGCAGCCGGGAGCCCATGGCCTTTATTAGCACACAGCTGAGCTGGGCCGCAGCTGTGTGCTAATTGGGCTGCATGTGGCCCGTGGGTTGAGAACCGCTGAAATAAAGGGTCTGGAAATGGCCAGTAGGGGATAGGCAGGCGGTCGCTGTCTGCTGCAGGCAGCCCAGGGCACACTGCAGCCTGGAGTATGCTCATCCCCCCCGGAGGAGACAAATAGCAGTGGCTAGTGGGGAGGGACGTGCCCCCACATTTCTCCAGACAGACACCCAGAGGCAAGGAAGCAGCGCTCCCCGTGGCGACAGCACTCTCAGTAATCCCCTTCCCTTTCCTCTCCCCACCCCATCCCCTTTCTTCTCCACACTGTCCCTGTTCCATTCCCCCATCCTACTTCATCCCTCTTCTTTCCCCACTGCCTCTTCCGCCACCACCCTCTTGCCCTGCCCCCACACAGGCACTCACCAGCTGTCCAGAAACGGGACACAGCACACATAGAAGATGACGGTGATGGGCACTAGGACACAGGAGGCAGCGTCTTGGAGCTCCCTGCCAGCCTAAGCTGAGGAGAGGGACAGAGGGAGCCTCTTCCCTCCCTGACAGCTAAGCAGAGTGGCAGAGAAATCGGGGGATGGAGGAGCTGGGGGGTGGGAGGGAAAGGGGCAATGCCTGCTCAAGCTACAGCCAGCACGGGTTCCCGGGATATCTGGATTTTTAGCGTCCGGTCACCAGTGTTAACCAATACCTGGCAGTGTGTTCCTGCAGCGCGGGGACACAGAGACAGGAAGGAGCAGGTTGCCAACTGAGCTCCTTCCAAGCCACAGGGGACTGCTTGGCCTTTCCTGCTGGCAGGAGCACTCCAGCAGGGCTGCATGAGCAAGCTCCTCCTCACCCGGCTCTAGCCCTGGCTTCAGCCCCAGCCCCTGCCTGACCAGATCGGCAAACTTTTAATTATTTTTAGCACACAGCTGCAGTGCTGGGCTGCAACTGTGTGCTAATTGGGCCGCATGTGACCCATGGGCCATGTGTTGAGAACCGCTGCTCTAGTCTTATTTCTTCATTAACCAACTCAGCAGTTGACTCAGCAAAAAGTGCAATGCAACAAGTTCCCAACATCGCATTAAACTAACATACAGATGTACACAATAATCCAAAATTCAACTTGAAATAAAGGGATTCTGTTCAATAAATACTTGGTTCACAATCAACTTTGCTGTCCCAGGAATGGAAGTAACTAACCTCTCGTGCCATTAGGCCCAGTGTCTCTGCTGGATACCTTTCTATTATTTGCAGGAGCCTAGGAAATTTTAGCCTGGCATCTCTGGAATTCAGTTTTAAAGCCTTTATCATTTTCTCCACTACAATGGCTGGGAATGTCTGCAGATCCAGAGCACTGACATCTGTCAAGAAACATTAAACAAAAATTATCAGAAACACCATCTTTTTTTCATCCCTTTGATCTAAAACATTCATCTTTACTTTTAATTGTATTATCTGCTTTCTTGGTGCTCTGTAGGGAATTTTAACGTTTTTTGTTTTTTACTTTGTTCTGTTTCCCATTTGAAGACTTGTTTGAACTGCACACACCACTAGTACGTGTATTCTTGGACTGTAAGCATTAGCTTTTATCAGGAAGCTGCATCATCACTAGTATCTTTCCCATTTTATACACAGCATTGTCGTGGTCTGGGAATGAACAAGAGGAGCAGCTGCTGGATAGGATGCATATCCCACCAGTAAGATGGAGACCTCATAACTCACTAATGGTGAAGCCAGAAGCAGCTGTCAGAAAGAACAAAAAGGATGTAAATAACATTGAAGTTGAGGACAATCTGTTTACATTTAAATTCAAGCCATATAACCTGCTGGGATTTCAGGAGCAGGGTGAAACCTGATGTATTTTAGGTAAATCCTCCACAACAGGAGTTACTCGCTTGGTATTAAACACCACCTCTTGTAAATTCTTCCATGTACAAGAATATTTTCTTTTTAAATTTTAAATGGCCCACCTCTAGCCCCCGCATTTGACTGCTCTCTATTGGCACTCTCCCATCTGAAATTTGCATAACAGCAGGATGAGAAAAATATTTTAATTTCTGACTCACCAGATGAACCTTCTTCCTCTTTACGGAGATGCTTGTCACAGAAATCAACCAAAGTCATGTAAGCATCTATGACTCCAGTCAGGTCTACATGCTCCACAGAGTGAGACTGCACCTCTTCTTCAGCCTTCCTCACTGCAGTGCTGAAGTACTGGAAAGCCTTCTTGTTCAGACCTGCTATCACCTGAAATTCAACCATAAGTGGAAGCCACAATAACAAGGAGAGTTCAGCAGATAGTTCATGGTGAATATTCAACAAATTTAGTTTCTTTTTCTGTTTGCAAATGAAGACTGAGCATGTATTTATCAAATACTTTATGTGAACAGTTCTTGATCTGTAGATCATTCTTGGTTGCAAGTATTCAATATTTGAAATTTGAGCTGTAATGGATACACAGATCATATGGTATTAGTTCTGTTCCCTGTCTGGATAGGCATAAATCTTAGATTGGGACTTCCAATGCAAGTCACATTTACTAGTTTAAAATTCACTTTCTGTGAACATTCTCTACAATTTGGTATTTCCAAGCCAGTAAACTCATTCAATAGACTATTTGCAAACAGTTAACGTGAAAGAGACACAAACACAGTTGAAGAAAATTAAGTTTTTAGTTTGAATGAATGTTCATGAGAATAAGTGGGGGATTTTTGTTTGTTTTGTTAAAAAGCTCTTTGCCTAGCTCTAGATTTAAACCTTTATTTATATACAAATTGTGTTTTTTTCCTGTTATGAGAATTGAGGCACAGTGTGGTCATCCCAGATTTCTCTAGTACAATGTACTTAATGGATGAAATAATTTACAAAGCATTTTAACAAAGAAACTTACATAAACTCTGCATACAGATTCCGTCATTTACCAATGCTACCACCTCCTTGGCAGAAATGTGCCAGCTGTTTAGCAGTATTCAGCAATACCACCCAACAGTTTAGGAACAGCAAGTGAAAAATACTGTATCCAATATAATCTACACTGTGAATTTTTTTGGGACAGTCCCAGGATATAATCCTTTTGGCTAGAAGCAGGAGGGAGGATTAATATGATAACAGGCATCTCCTTAAAAATCACTTCCTAGAACTGTATTTCGTGATATATCCCATTATCTTGGAAACTCAACAACTCATGGAAAACTTGGTTTTCTAGAGCTATGCTTGTAGCAAAATGATTCATATTACCTTAAATGAAAGAGCAGACTGCGGCCAGGGACAGAAGCTTGGCTCAGCAACTTGACTGACCTGGCAGCTCAGAGCAGGTAACATTTTGGAGAACAGGGACTTACTTCAGGCAAATTTGAAAAGACTTGGTCTAACTTTTTAAAAACATTTGATTAATCCCTAGTGGATGGAAACCGAGAGGTCACTCTCCTTTCTCTGCCCTACCCCCACTTCCTTTCTTTCCTTTCCCTCCCTTTCCATTCTTTCGTCTTTTCTGTTCTTCCCTTATTTGTTTGCGGGGAGGGAGGGAATCAAAATATAAACAAAAAAACCCACATTGTGAATTTTATGTAGGCAAAGGGAAATTATTGAAGTTGGAATTTGGTCAGGAGACAAGTGTGAACACCCTTAGGTCTTGCAGAAGGTACCATGTTATCTCAATTTGTCTCATCCAGAAGGCAGTACAGTGCCTTCTAGTACCATGCTGGGACACTGGTTAAATACTGACTCAGAGGGAACAGAATCATCCACAAAATTATGGACACCACTTCCTGCAGTATCTTTCTGGAGGTCTCTCAAGTAAGTCTGATCTTTCTTAGTTTTTAAGGATCACAGTGAAAGGTGGTATAGAAGAGATTTCGTGCTCACTTTTCAACTGCTCATTATAAAGAATGTTGTCATTCATTCTGGTAGAGTAACTAGCACAATAATTTTTAACTTCATTTATGAAATAATTATACTAATTTTTGTCCTTGTTGTATTGACACTGTTCATTTACAGATTGTACTGGCTCCTAGAGAGACAAGTAACAGTGTTTGTTCATTCTGACTGTAGCTACTCCCAAGGCTCCTAAGAGAGGGTAGCTATCAAGATCAGCAGATATAAATTGATATACGCAGTCTAACTCTCCATTCGGATCCCTTTGAAAGACGTAAGTTCAGTTCTGGGGCATCCTGAACAACTCTGAATATATACATTTGAAGATCTGGTAGGGTCTCCAATTGTGTGCTCTTTATATTGTACTCCTGCTCAATTAAGGCAAAGGACAATGGGACAAATTTTACTTTTTTTTTTTTTTTTTTTAAACTCCTAGCTATGGCTGATCATTAAAATGACTAAACAATTATTAAAATAAATAGAAAATTAGCTATATTAATTTTAGGAAGTGACTATCTTCATGGGAGATTCATGCGACCAGCCCTGCCTGATGTTAGCATGGATATCAAAGAGCACCACCCATCCAACTATCAGGCTGGCCTCTGCTCCCACACTCTTCTTGCCCTTGAGCATGCACATGCTCTCGGACAAACGTCCTCCCTCCATGTAAGATGTCGGTAGGGACAAACACTAGCACAATCCTGGAGGCTCTGGACACAGCAGATTCAAAACCTGCTTCCACAAGTTTTACTTTACCATCTTGGTGGCAGTTCGGGGCCTGGAACCTCCTCTCCAGCAGTGAGTGGGAGGGGGACTGTCCAGCGGCAGGAGCCCATGACTGACCAAGCAGGGTCCAGGTCACACTAACAGCAGCTGCAGCACTACTCTCACAGCTGCAGCTCATTGGAGAAATCAGTGCTAGCAGCAGAGAGTACTAGCATGGGTTTACTGTAGTAACATGGGCTTAATGTAACTGAGTTAATGAAGTATATTAGCCATCTACACCAATGAGTAAGAAGCTCCTTTCCCTTCTCATTTACCTTCTCAGAATTTTCAGGCCTCTCTCCAGAAAGCATCACGACTTTTCTAGCTTTTTCTTCCTCAATTTTTTCAAGACATCCTGGATCTTTGCTAAGGGCACTGGCCAAAATATGGTAAGTGGTACCCAACAGAAGATTTTGGTTGCGGAAGGCCACTATGTTCTTACTCAGGTAGTCAGATTTGCTCTCATCTGTTGGAATTCAGAAACAAAGTTGATAATTTGGCAGTAAAATGGATTCCCATTACAAATAGGAAGAGAATCCATAGCATGGGTTCTGCATCAATGGAGTCTGAATAGATAACACTATTACCCAGTAAAGAGATGGTTTTCAACACAGTGAGCATTTGTTCAGGACTATTCTGGCTCTGACTGCGACTATGGCTAAAGCGGCAATAGCTGTGATTCCATCTCAAGAGCCAGTCTTCTCTGGTTTTAGACTCTCTGTGCAGATCCTTCAGAAGCTTCATGGCAACTGAGAAGCTGTTCTACATTAACAGATCAAAATGGGAATTTTCAATAATGCATTAGAAGAAGGGGAAATAAAAAACTACTGTTTGCAGCAAATGAAAAGATCCAAGGATTTTGCAAGAGCCATTACGGGATTCACAAAGTATAACAGGAAAGATCCCAGAAATTCCAGCAAAGTGTGAGGGGCTCCCCTGCCAGGTGGGCTCGGTGTGAAAAACAGGCGTGCGCTAATGGAAGTATTTGATAAAAATAAAAAAATAAACAAACAATCTAGCTCCAGTCATTTTTAACTCATATCCTACTTAAAATACAGAGGTCCCCATGTCAACATTTTCCAACTTAGTATCTAAAATTAGGTCTCTAAATCTATCTTTAGACCCATTAATAAGTGGTTTGACTTTCAGAGGTACTGAATACCCATAACTCCCACTGATCTCAATGGAGACTTTGGGTATTCAGCACTTCTGAGGAACAGGTCACTTAGGGTTAGATTCAGAAAGGGGTTTAGGTGCCTAACTTGTACTTTTGGTGCCTAAATCCCAGGATCAGACACCACTAGTATTAACAAAACTCCCACAGCTCAACTGCCGCTGAATCCTGTAGATGTAACTCACTTGGTGCATAATTTTTTGCAGTAAAAGTTCCCTAGGCACCTATGTTTCTGCCTCTGTGTACGTGAACCTCTGCTCCATTCTAGACATCTGGACACCTAAGCCCCAGTGTGATGCACAACCTGGGGAAAGACAGGTGTTCCTCCACTTAACTTGCATACAGGGCCTAAGCTGGTAAGCAGGCTCAGAGCTTGCCTGCTGGATTCGGCCCCACAGGTAAGCTCACACAAAACAGACAATGGGACGTAGCTCAGTCTTTATGATATTCATGTGGAACATGGAAAACCGGTTCAAGGGATCGGCAAGTGAGGGCCCCAATCACTAAGTACGGAATATTCTGATGTGGCCCTCCCTCAGTCTCTCCTGTAGAAGCAGTTCCATTGTGGATAAATAATTAAAGAGTCATTAGGCTGGAAAGCGAGAGAGAGCCTGGTGGTTTGAGCACTCAACCAGGTTGTGGGAGTCCCAGGATCCAGTCTCCCTGCTCTAATGACTAATTATTTTTCCAGAGAGGAAAAGCTTCAAAAGGAAAGACTGTCGGAGCCCCATATAAGAATATCCCATAGCCCAATGGTTAAGGCACTTGCCTGAGAGGTGGTGGCAGATCCCTGTTCAGATCCCTTCTTCCCCTCAAGAGTGGGGGGGTGGGGGAGAGCTTGAACCCAGGGTCAGCCACATCCCAGGTGAGTGCTCTAACCACAGGGCTAAAAGTTATGAGAGCCTCTCCTCCTCCCCCCACACCTGGTGTCTTGCAAAAATGACATAGGTGGCTAACTCCAATAGAGGGTTTGCAGCTGAGACTCCCAAGGAGAGGAAGGCACCTCCCAGCAGTCCAGACTTAGATACTCTACTCCCTGAAAGGGCCGGGGTTTAAGACACTCCCCCTTTGCCTTAGCATCTCCCATTGGCTAGCTTAGGCAGGGAGCATCCTAGCATGCTGGCTTTCGTGAATCCTATTTTTAGGTGCCTATCTCACTCCATTCATCATATAGGATGCCTGAGAACTTAGCTCAGGCTTTGTGAATCTCAGTTATTTTCTAGGTGCCTAAAAGTTAGGCATGGTGCATGGAGTATCACAATGCCTCAGTCCCTTTGTGAATCTAGCCCCTCATTGCTAACTTTAGACAAACACTGGCCACAATATCTATTAATGTTATACAAGAAAAAACAAAGCATTTCAGTGTTAGTGAGTGGGGCAAGATAAGTGATATCGGTTCAATCTCAGTTTGGTCTGTATTGTTTTATACAGAACATTTATCTTATGCGCTAGTAAATTTACAAATCAAAGTATGTTATTAGAAATATAAATGCATTAAATTAAAGAGCTTTAAAATGTGAGACATTATGCTACTTTTTCTTGCACACACACGCCCCCCACAGGCCCACAACTATAACATTTCTGATGCTTTCTTTATTTGTTCTGGAAAGTACCAGGAACATCTGGTGAACAAAAAGAGCCTTTGGGCACATTTCCTGAAATAGCACATTTTAGAAAAGTTGTTAATTAACAGTAGTCATCTACAATTCTGTAGAAAAGGAACCAGGCATTCAAGAACATACTGTTGGGGGAAATCCTGCATTGGCAGCAGTATGACCTGGACAACCTTTTCCAGTTCTAATAGCTAAGGTTTTCTGATGAATCAAGCACTATCAGACAGTGAAGAGTCACCTGTTTCCTGGCACTCTCTATCATCTTCATTTTCATGTTAAATTTGCAGCTTCTAATCATTGAATGAATGTCTTCTTCCTGCATATCTGTTTCCATTTTGTCACCAACATCTCCCCTTCCATCCACCTCCATACTATCATCAGCCTGGATGTTAGGCAGTTTCTCCTGAATTTTTCCAAGAAAGAAACACCTGCACAATGGTGAAAGGAAATAAGACATTAACATACAGTGGGAAGCACACAGGTGATTTTAAACCTTCCTCTCCTTGATCTATATTCAATGCTGCCATATTTCCCACTGGTAAATATGGCTAAGCGACTTCAATCACGGACTGATGTCGTTTATTATTAGTGATTGTGAACCTCTTCAGTAAGGAGTAGGCATATTCAACTAATAAAATTAACAATCACAACCAGGGTGGACTGACCTAATGAGTACCCCTAGATCTTGAAATGGTGTCCCTTACACATATTTCGTTTTTTAATCCTGGCTATGGGGTTAGGATTTTTATTGGAGACTATGGAGTTTAGGTGCTAGAAAATGTCCATAATTACATTTTTACTAGAATACTACCCCAAATGTACCAAGACAAATCTATAGCCCTTGCCCTGATGCCAGCGTAACTGTAAGAAACATGTAGACTGGCTTATAAACTATAAATGCCAGCTAGAGCTGACTGAAACTTGGGATTTCCAGTTCATGGAAAATTTCAATATTTCAAAGAGCAGTGGTGAAGCTGACAAGAATCATGTCAATTTCAGTCAGCAGCCGCCAGGGTTCCCAGCCTCTGGGGGTCCAGGGCAGCCCCACTATGTGCACAGCCCTGACACTGGGAGCTGCAGAGCTTCCAGACATCTGGGCCTGCTGGCTCCAAGTCTTTCAAGTGGGTGGGTCCTGGGAGCCAGTTGACCTGGGAGCAGTCTGCATGGTGGGGCTGCCCAGAGCCATGGACCCTAGAAGCCCAGGCTCCCCAGCAGCCTGCCATGAAACCAAGCAGAGTTCCCTTGGAAACCTGCCTGTGATTCAATTAAAGTTCGTCAAACCAGAGATGCTTCTGTGACACACTTCAGGTTCAATAAATCGGCATTTCCCAATGAAACTGTTTCACTGGAAAAATCCTGAGCAGCTCTAGCACGAGCCTATATTTCATGTCAAACTTTGACCCAACTGCAAACCCTATTTAGGTTTGCGTAAGTGCCCTTTAAGATTTGTATTACAGTCATGCCCTGAGACACCAGTCACTATCAAGGGACCCACTGAGATATCCTTACTCACAGTGACTAGTACCTTACTCCATAAGTAGGCTCATCAACTTCAATGGGACTGCTTACCATGTAAACTGTTATTAAATGGGAGTCTGGGTATCACGGTGTGGCTCTGTGCTAGGTGCTGTATAAACACCATAGAAATACAGTACCTATCCCAAGGAGCCTTATAGCCTAATTTAAGAGAAGATACAAGTGGGTATCTTAATAGCCCACCGCAAGCTTTCAGCAGTCTGGCAACTCTCCAAAGCTTGTAAGTTTTGGGGCTTTCCTGAAGGATAAAATATGAAATGTGTTTTGGTTCACCTCTAACCTAAGTAAGCTCCTTTGCACAGGAGGTTTTGGCTCCTCGCTGAACAAAACACTGCCAAGCCTGCTGAGACTCCATAATCAGCAAATTTTAAAGGTGCTTATTTGGCTGAGAGAGAGGTAATGATGAAGACTGAGCCCTGGTCTACACTACGGGGTTAGGTCGAATTTAGCTGCTTTATGTCGATTTGAAAATGAATGCGTCCACACAACCAACCCCGTTCCGTCGACTTAAAGGGCTCTTAAAATCGACTTCTGTACTCCTCCACGGCGAGGGGAGTAGCGCTAAAATTGACCTTGCTGGGTCGAATTTGGGGTAGTGTGGGCGCAAATCGACGGTATTGGCCTCCGGGAGCTATCCCAGAGTGGTCCATTGTGACCGCTCTGGACAGCACTTTGAACTCCGATGCACTAGCCAGGTACACAGGAAAAGCCCTGGGAACGTTTGAATTTCATTTCCTGTTTGGTGAGCGTGGCGAACTCAGCAGCACAGGTGACCATGCAGTCCCCCCAGAATCGTAGACCGTAGAATGTTTTTATGCTCCCCCTATCATCCCTGTCCCTGAGGTTATCGCAGATTAGAAGGCGAAGAAAACGCACTTGTGATGACATGTTTTCCGAGCTCATGCAGTCCTCCCGCACTGATAGGGCACAGCTTAATGCATGGAGGCATTCAGTGGCAGAGGCCAGGAAAGAATTAAGTGAGCGCAAAGAGCAGAGGCAGGATGCGATGCTGAGGCTAATGGGGGAGCAAACGGACATAATGAAGTGTCTATTGGAGCTGCAGGAAAGCCAACAAGAGCACAGACCCCTGCTGCATCCACTGTATAACTGCCTGCCCTCCTCCCCACGTTCCATAGCCTCCTCCCCCAGATGCCCAAGAACGCGGGGCGGAGGGGGTGGTGGTTGGGGAGAACGACACGCTCCGGGCACCCAGCCACTCCACTCCAGAGGATGGCCCATGCAACAGAAGGCTGTAATTCAAACAGTTTGATTTTTAGTGTGGCTACAATAAGCAATGTGGCCTTATCCATCCCTCCTCCCCTACCCCACCTGGGCTACCTTGTCTGTTATCTCTTGTTTTTTTTAATTAATAAAGAATGTATGGTTTCAAAACAATAGTTACTTTATTTCGAAGAGGGGAGGGTGGTTGGCTTACAGGGAATTAAAATCAACAAAGGGGGCAGGTTTGCATCAAGGAGAAACACACAAAACTGTCACACCGAAGCCTGGCCAGTCACGAAACTGGTTTTCAAAGCCTCTCTGATGTGCTGCGCGCATTGCTGTGCACTTCTAATCGCCCTGGTGTCTGGCTGCTCAAAATCGGATGCCAGGCGATTTGCCTCAACCTCCCACCCCGCCATAAACATCTCCCCCTTACTCTCACAGATATTATGGAGCACACAGCAAGCAGCAATAACAATGGGAATGTTGGTTGCGCTGAGGTCTGACCTAGTCAGCAAACAGCGCCAGCGAGCTTTTAAATGTCCAAAGGCACATTCTGCCACCATTCTGCACTTGCTCAGCCTATAGTTAAACTGCTTCTTACTACTGTCCAGGCTTCATGAGCCATGGGAGCAAGGGGCAGGCTGGGATAGGTGCAACTGCGCGGTGCTTCTAGCTGGGAGAGCAGCCTGAGGCAGAAGCCTCCAGCTTGCATGATATTCCAGACAGGACTGAATCTCCATGAGACGAAACTTAAAGAAGAGAATGGGAGTCTCTGGCTCCCATTCCGTGCTCTAAGAGGAGAATAGCCATGTCTGTCCAGGCGCCCCTGATCGACCTCACCAAGGCCTGCCAGGAGCACCCAGGAGACGTACAACAGCTATCAGTCCTACTGCACCGTCTGCCACAAAGGCAAGGAGCTGCTGCTGTGTAGCAATGCAGTACCGCGTCTGCCAGCAGCACCCAGGAGATGTACGGTGACGGTGAGCTGAGCAGGCTCCATGCTTGCCGTGGTATGGCGTCTGCACGAGTAACCCAGGAAAAAAGGCGCACAATGATTATCTGCCGTTGCTTTCATGGAGGGAGGGAGGGAGGAGGGCCTGACGACATGTACCCAAAACCACCCACGACAATGTTTTTGCCCCATCAGGCATTGGGAGCTTAATCCAGAATTCCAATGGGCAGTGGAGACTGCGGGAACTGTGGGATAGCTACCCACAGTGCACTGCTCTGTAAGTCGATGCTAACCACGGTAGTGAGGACGCACTCCGCCGACTTAATGCGCTTCGTGTGGACATACGCAATCGACTGTATAAAATCGGTTTCTAAAAATCGACTTCTATAAAATCGACCTAATTTCATAGTGTAGACATACCCTGAGGAAAGGAGTGTGATCTGAAGTTGCATTGAGAGAAAGTAGAGGATGTGAAGAAATATTATGGGGAGGAGAGAGAAGTTAAAAGGTTAGAGAAAGCATCTGAGCCTCTTGAGAGCTTGTCTAAAGAAAGTCTCTCAAGGGTCAGCCATTTCAGGTAACTGTTGCACAGCAGAAGTTTTGGTTATAGTAATAGTTAAAGACAGTCACATAAATATACCTCTACCCCTGTCAAGGCTGTATCCCCACTTTGAACTTTAGGGTACAAATGTAGGGGCCTGCATGAGGACTCCTAAGCTTAACTACCAGCTTAGCTCTGGTCCGCTGCCACCATCTTAAGAATTCCCTCCCTGGGAAGCCTTGAGAAACCTTTCACCAATTCCCTGGTGAACACAGATCCAAACCCCCTTGGATCTTAAAACAAGGAGAAATTAACCATCCCCCCTCCTTCCTCCCACCCTCCTTTCACCAACTCCTGGTGAATACAGATCCAAACCCCCTTGGATCTTAAAACAAGGAGAAATCAATCTGGTTCTTAAAAAAGAAGGCTTTTAATTAAAGAAAAAGGTAAAAATCATCTCTGTAAAATCAGTATGGAAAATAGCTTTACAGGGTAATCAAACTTAAAGAGCTCAGAGGACCCCCACCCCCTCTGTCTTAGGTTCAAAGTACAGCAAACAAAGATAAACACTCTAGTAAAAGGTACATTACAAGTTGAGAAAACAAAGTAAATCTAAGACGCCTTGCCTGGCTTTTTACTTACAAGTTTGAAATAGGAGAGACTTGTTTAGAAAGATGGGGAGAACCTGGATTGATGTCTGGTCCCTCTCAGTCCCAAGAGCGAACCACCCCTTAAAACAAAGAGCACACACAGAAGCCTTTCCCCCCCCAAGATTTGAAAGTATCTTGTCCCCTTGTTGGTCCTTCGGGTCAGGTGTCAGCCAGGTTACCCGAGCTTCTTAACCCTTTACAGGTAAAAGGATTTGGAGTCTCTGGCCAGGAGGGATTCCATAGCACAGTACACAGGAGAGCTGCCACCCTTCCCTTTATAGTTATGACAACCCCCATATAACGCGACCCGATATAACACGAATTCGGATATAACGTGGTAAAGCAGTGCTCTGGGGGGCGGGGCTGCGCACTCCGGCGGATCAAAGCAAGTTCGATATAATGCGGTTTCACCTATAACGCGGTAAGACTTTTTGGCTCCCGAGGACAGCGTTTTATAGGGGTAGAGGTGTGCCTGAAGAACATGGTGATAACTGGGGTTGGGTTCTTTGTATAAAACCTTGTTAAAACCTCTAGCTATTTAAAGACATCCAGTAACTGAGGGCCCATTTTTGTGACTTTTACTCATATTGAGGGGCACTTAGTGAGTAGTCCCATTGTGATAAATGTGACTATTCACCCACGTACTCCTCAACATATGTAAGAACTGAAGAATTGGGCCAAGGATGGCTGGCTGGCAAAAATCTTAATTTATAATCCTGATTTCCTTATAGTGTACCTAGCAATTGATGGATGACAAACAATTTTAAGCTTTAGGCTATTGGTCTAATCTGCTAACTACACTATTTATATGATAACATCCTCTTATCCACCTACCCATCCCATCTGCCCTTTGCTCCTCTCCATATGTTAGTAATATGAAAACAATTTGTTCCATCTGAAAGGCAAGACATAATAGTACTTAGAAATCACCAAGTGCTGGATTCCAAGCAAAAATTTCTACAGGCAACATCAGAAATATAGCAAGCTTAACTAACATGTAAAATCATAGTTAACAGACAAGTGTCTCATCTTACCGGTTTGTAATGATGTCATCCCAGATGTTCATGGGGTCCATTTTATCATCTGGATATCTGCTTGTCCAAATTCTAAGAAGTCTCTTAAGGGAAGCTTGAGAAGCTAAGCTGCCTAAAATCAATTAAAAATACTTTAAGAAAAGGCTGCATGGAGGTAATGTGAAAATGTAGGGGGTCAAACAATGATGTTCAGAATCATAGCATATTAGGGTTGGAAGAGACCTTAGGAGGTCATCTATTCCAATCCCCTGCTCAAAGCAGGACCAACACCAACTAAATCATCCCAGCTAAGGCTTTGTCAAGCCGGGCCTTAAAAACCTCTAAGGATGGAGATTCCACCACCTCCCTAGTGAACCCATTCCAGTGCTTCACCATCCTCCTAGTGAAATAGTGTTTCCTAATATCCAACCTAGACCTCCCCCACTGCAACTTGAGACCATTGCTCCTTGTTCTGTCATTTGCCACCACTGAGAACAGCCGAGCTCCATCCTCTTTGGAACCCCCCTTCAGGTCATTGAAGGCTGCTATCAAATCTCCCCTCTCTCTTCTCTTCTGCAGACTAAATAACCCCAGTTCCCTCAGCCTCACCTTTTAAGCCATGTGCCCCAGCCCCCTAATTATTTTTGTTGCCCTCCACTGGACTCTCTCCAATTTGTCCACATCTCTTCTGTAGTGGGGGGACCAAAACTGGATGCAATACTCCAGGTGTGGCCTCACCAGTGCCGAATAGAGGGGAATAATCACTTCCCTCGATCTGCTGGCAATGCTCCTACTAATATAGCCAAATATGCCGTTGGCCTTCTTGGCAATTTTAAAGAGATAATTGCTATTTTAAATCATCATGGAAGGATTTCATTGCAAGGGCTCGAAAGATAAAACATAACATAGTGGATGACCCTTTTAAAAAATATCTTCACTATATCAAACACAGATTCAGAGTCTTTTGACATGTGAAAATAACTAGACTCACTCTTAAAAACAAAAAGGTCAATGCCACAATGTATATACACAAAATAAGAGAAAAATGCTGTGGGGAAAATACATAGCACACTGCTGACTCATATCCAGCTTCTCGTCCACTGTAATCCCAGGTCCTTTTCTGCAGAACTGCTGCTTAGCCAGTTGGTCCCCAGCCTGTAGCGGTGCCTGGGATTCTTCCTTCCTAAGTGCAGGACTCTGCACTTGTCCTTGTTGAACCTCATTAGATTTCTTTAGAACTCAGTGAGAGAAGCACAGATTGACACAGCAGCAGCCAGCAGTTAATATAATGAAACTCACTCAAATTTCCTGGCTTCTATTAAATGAATCATTCAGTCTGGTGTTTATTATACTATTTTCCAGTTATTGCTGCATCTCAACTACTAGAGAGTAAAGAAACTAAAAGGGGCAATAATTATCACTGGAAAAGAATGACAGTTATTACCAGTATTCCTCATAGGAGTAAAGTGGAATACAAAGGTACAATTGTTAACTAGAGTTTTGTACTAAGCTGATAAGATGTAAGTAACTTTATATTTTATGCCTAAAATAGCAGATATTATTGGAACATATGATCTATCTCTGCTGTTCACTACTATCAAACTAGTCAAACTAATCATGTGTAATTTTAAAGAGATAATTGCTATTTTAAATCATCATGGAAGGATTTCATTGCAAGGGCTAGAAAGATAAAACATAACATAGCGGATGACCCTTTTAAAAAATATCTTCACTATATCAGACACAGATTCAGTCTTTTGACATGTGAAAATAACTACACTCACTCTTTCCAAAAACAAAGAGGTCAATGCCACAATGTATATACACAAAATAAGAGAAAAATACTGCAGGGAAAATATCTTACTTGGTTTGCTTATAAAATTGATGAATTCCTGTATTTCTGTTAAAGCTTGGACAGACTGCAGCTTTGTTAGTCGACTTTGGTGTAACAGAGTGTCAATACTGGAATAGTTCTAGGAGAGGGAAAATGATTTTTAAGTGATTTCTTACCATGTTTTTATTTAAAGCACTGTAGAGCAGATAAATAACCGATCCTTCTATGTGCTATGCTCAACTAGATTGTGATTCATATCATCCGTAGAAAAGATGCATAAAACCAACCAGTATCAATTTACGCTAGTTAGAGGTTTTCAAAATGACACATGAGTGAACTAGGCTGAATAAACTCAGTATGATATACTAGGGAAGAGGAGGGGACAGAGTGAATAAACCGAAAGAAAGGAGTAAGACACCCCCAAAATAGGGCAGGCATGTTGCACTGGATGGCTGTCTCCATTTCTTAAGTTCCTGGGGTGAAATCCTGACTCCAGGGAAGTCAATGGAAGTTTTGCCATTCACTTCAAGGGGGTCCAGATTCCATCCTTTATATTTTAATCTTGAAGCAATGTTCCAGTAGCAGCAAGGGCTGCACCTTACATGTCTTCCTACAGAGAATCACAGCAGACATGTTACAGCAGCTTTGTTACCTGCATGAAGGTCTGCATGCCACTGCTGATGTAATATCTGGCTCTGTCAAAGTCATCCTGCAAGATGTAGAGAAGACTCAGCTCTTGGCTGTAATACATTTCTATAAGGGCTTTCCTCTGTTCTATCTTCATAGCCTCATCAATGAAGGTCAGCAAGGACTGGTCATTGCCCCCATGGAGCAGTAATTTCAACTTACTCCGTATTATATATGGCAGATAGGTTTCCTACAGAGGAAAAAAGAAAAAAAAGTCTCTTTACTCCGAGGGCAGGATACTGAATAATCACTTCTGCCATCTGTTGCTGGTGATGTAGAACCATATGCTAGACATATAGGGGCCTGGTTCCATCTGCTACAGGCCTAAAGATTTTCAAATTAGGAAAAGGCTAACATATTTCACCAAATGTAATTATACTTTTCAGTGTATCTTAACCTTTTTCAGATTGACTCCCATCACCCAACAAGTCACACAGCACCCTCTTCTGGTGGGCTCATGCAGTTACACAGGTACTGGTGCTTGGCATTTCCTATCAGCTTCAAAATAAATTTGGTGGGACCCTCCAAATACAGGAGGAGGAGAAAAATAGATGACAGCAGCATGAAGAGTGCAAAGAGGACAAGGTGACCAGGCTGGAGCCATTTGCTGAGTCATGGGACTAAAGGGCAACTTGAGACGCTACAGAATAGCAAAAAATATTTACTTTAATTACTGTTGACTGTAATTTTTATAAGAAAACTCATCTAAATTGTGCAAAGTACTTTGGTGATCAAGTCACTTTACCTCTATCCCTAATCAAGGCACCGCAGTAATGGCCCTTGTACAAATGGAATCAGTGTGAAATCAACTCTAATCTAGCAATGAGTTCACAAACCTGATAAAATGGATCATTCCACGTTTTGTTTAGGTCTGGAGGTTGTCCGCTATCAATATTAACAGTGGAACAATACTCCAGTGACTTCCACTCTGTCAGATGGTTGTAGCATTCAAGAGATGCAAGTTCCCAGAAATCCTTTTCTGCTTCTGTAGGTTCACCATCCGACCAGTCTTGTTTAGAGAGAGCCTAGAAAAGGAATGTCAGATGAAAAAAAAAAAAAAAAAAAAAAAAACAAGTAGGTTCTGACCTGCAATATTATGATTTTTTTACTATTCTAGCTGAACACCTTCAGGAGAACCCATAATGTTTTCACTGTCGCACGACAATATTTTATTCCTTTACCAGCACTTGTGTTTAATCAGCAAATAGGACCTAAGAAAATGTTCCAAAGAATTCTTCATAATGTAAGCCAGTCACACCTTTAACATATAAAACTCAGTTCAGATGTGAGCTTCAGTCAACCTGCATTTGTAAAGAGCTGCATTTTTCCACCTTTCATTTAGACACAAACATTCTGTAGGTAAAATCATTTCCACACATATTTTTTAATGATTATCAACTTGTAAACACAAATAAAACTTACATGGGCAGACCATAGGCACTTAATTTCCATTCTCTAATGATCTTTTGTGTATACTGAAATTATATTGATTTATGCCTGTAAAGTTGTGTGACACCAATGGAGATAACTTGAAAATTTGTCTCAATAAGCACTGTCTGTTATGAACTGTTATTTATATTGCATTTGAGCAAGTATCTTTTATGGATCTTGACTCATATAATGAAGTGAACTAAATAAAAGAATGTTTAAAGCAACACGCTGTCTCAGAATTTTTATTTTGATAGAAGTAAAAAAAGGGTCTTAAAAAAAAATCTGAGAGGAAAGAAATAAACTATATTTGTCATGTAGTTTTTTACCTCATCATATTGTTTAGCTGCTTCAGCATAATCACTTCTTGCCTCTGCTAACAGTGCATTCTGGGTAATTTCCTTAGTTCCAATCTTTCCACTGAAAATACCACGAAGAACATCATAATCTCCAACAGATCGATAAAGCCTAGTAAAGTTAAAAGGCAAAAAATTATTATTTGAAAAAGAACAGTTTTCTATTCAAGTGCAAAGTATCCAGGTACAAAGTACTTCAGTATTACAACTGATGCATGTTAGACAGTCTATGCAAACTTACTGCTCTATAACTGCCTGGCTGCATAGAATGCATTACTGATGCATGGATATTATTCTTCTATCAGATTATAAATTTATATTGGATTGTGTAAACTCCACTCTGGCCAAAACAATGTTTAAACAATGCTGCACACACTACTCCGAAATCACCTGCAAGAGTATAGCGTTTAACTGGACTGGAAACCGAGCTGTTGAATCCGTACCAGAGAATGTGTTGGAAAAGATTTATGACATGGGAGTAGCCCTGCCTGAAAGGTCAATAATTAGCTCAGAAGTATTAAAAATATACCTAGTATGAAAATCAAGCCCTATATATGACCAGAACTCTTGGCTGATTTAATTTGAACAAAAACTACCCCAATTAATTTCTGCAACAAGCACTCACTTAGCAAGTTCAATCCATCTGATTACATCTGGAGAGAGCTCTGCCCTTCCACGCATTCGTTTGGACAGTGGTTCTTCTTCTGAAGAAAGACGAGTTAGAGCCTGTTCAAGAAGCAGGATGCCCACGGGTTGCTGTAAACTGGCTAAGCAGCTAGTGCTCACAGTAGCTGAGTCGAGGTCTAGCAGCTCTCTGTGCTGGTAACTCATTTCCTGTAAAACAAAGACATGGGCAGTTAATGGGCCTGTAAGTATTGGAAATAGGCTTTATAGAGAAAATCTTTTGGTTTTCTTTTCCTAAAGTGAAAGAAAGCTTGGATGGAGGCTGGTGAAGCTAGTGATTTTGTGAATAGTTTTTCGCATGCCAGCTGGTGCAGGAATTTTACATCTTGCCTGCAAGCAACTTTGAGGCCCTAAGACCTTGGCATTTTGGATAGAATGAAATGAACAGGCTACATTTGGTGTATGTATGCCACGTGCTTGAGACATATCTTTAGAGCTCGATGAATGCCCATTTATGCCACAATCTTCCAAGGATTAGAACAAAACAATGTGAAAACTATTTCCCAGGAACTGTGGAAAGAGGAATTTACCTTGGACAGAAAGATTTCTGAAGCTCTAAGAATAACCTTTTCCTTATGACAAAGGCAGCGTGGTTCTTGTATGGATATGGGAACTAATTCCAAAACCTGCCTTTTGGAGGTAATGGTGACTAAAAATGCCGGCCACATGCTTGTCTAATCCATCATTCTGATTAAATTTGGCAGAGATACTCAAACAGAGGAATCAATGTGCCTGTCTACAAAATGCTGCTGTGGCTGGTTCCACATTTCTAAAGGTGCTTGGTTGTAGGACTCCAACCAAACCTCCTGGAGAAACTTTAGTGTATCTGAGATCACCAGAACTTTGAGATTAATATTTGTATCTAGAGATCAGACTCCTTTGTGCTGGGTACTGCACAAATGAAGAAGCAGTCCCTGTCCCAAAGAGCACAAGAAATGTAAATCTGACCAGACCAGTGAATGAAATATTCTGATTGTTACAGTTTGGTTTCCAGACAGAACTCAGAAGTTAATGGAGAATCCATGCTGAAAATTAAACTTCTCTGCCAACACCCAGGCTGTTAACTGTAGGTGTTCCTATAGGAGTCCCAGTTTCAAGGGATCTGGTGTTTTCTGCATGTACAAGGTGGGGTCTTTGGTTATCTAGCAAGTCCAACATGCCTTCTGGGCCAGTGGAGGACTAGCAAGAGGACCACAACTCTCGTTTTTCTTCTTTTCAGTATCCTTTATGTGAACTGTCTTGAAAGACAGCAGATTCTACTCTACCCAGGACATTATTTCCATTTCCAAAGAGAAGCTCTGACTCTGGTTACTCCCTAGTTATGGAAGGGATATAAACACTCATGCCTCAATCATAAACCAACCTCTAACAGGAGTTAGCAGGATACGTTCTCTGCAAGTACCACAATTTCCCACTAAATGGTTTCTTGCACCTTCCACTGATGCAGTCAGTATTGGCCACTATCATAAAAAGGATATTGGATTGCATGGACAACTGGATGACTCCCCTGGGGTCCATATTTGCAGGTTTTGCTTTTTTTATTTTTTAAATAAAGACATGCCCTAATAGAGATGTCAAAATGAACTGAAATGTTGCGTACTATGAGATTCTGTATATTTGTCTTCCAAGTATGCTTGCTTCCATAGTGAGTATGCAAGAGTCTAGAGTGAAAGCTAGGTTGGCTTTCAGCATGATGTTTGCACTTACCCATCCCCAAAGGGTCATTTGGATTTGATCTGAGAATTACACCGAACTTTGCATTGCATCAAGTGCATGGCTCTATGTTCTCAGAAAGAATTTCAGCAGGAGCATTTTGAGAAACCCACACAAGGGATGAAGATGGTGCATAACACCAGCAACCCTAGCCATTGGAAATAGCAGGTTACTTGATGACCCCTTAGGAAATGATTGATGCCATGAAGTTTTGGATTTCTGCAAATCTTTACCATATGGCAAAATTACAGCCAAAGCCATATCTATTTTGACCTCTGGGTAGGAACTCTGCATTGCGATCCAAAGTTCCCCTTGATTATAAAAAACTGGTGGCTATGAATCCTTTCCAGCAGCTGTTAACTTATGATTGGGTCTGTTTCTCTTGATAGGGTGCTGTAGAGGTTTATTTTTGTTTTGTTTTGTGATGCATGTGCGGTGTTTCTTCCCCTGGCTGTATACAGCGGAGAGATAGAACACTATTTATCCTGGCCTGGGAACACCACAACAGAGGAGGGCTACTGGTACACATACCTCAATTGTGGAAGTAGCTTGCTAGAAGTTCCTGGGAGCCTGAAGGCTGGCACCCAAGTAGGTATTGTAGGAGCAACCTAGAACCACTCAGGGCTTTACTCAGTAAATCAGGATAAATTTGAACATGAGAAGGGACTTGCCCTTCTGTAATCCCATGAAGGTGCACCTTTGTGGGGAGTGGAATACTCATGTGCCTCCATTTGGGTCATCGACTGCCACAAGTGCTTCTAAGGCTTTAGTGTGGAGTCAGCCTGTGGAGCAGGGAGTATCTGGGTGTGGGGACTCTGGATCTTCTCTGGGTATTTTCCCCTTCAGTGCCTGTTTATTGTGGGACCTACCCCATGAGTTGTCCAGAGAACTTCCTCCTCCTCCTCCTCATTAGGCTCGCTCTCCAAAACCTCAGAAAGTCATGATCAGGCTTTTCTGCACTGGAGTCATGGCTCCTTGGGGCAGGATGGGGATCCGACATGCTGGTCAGATTCTGAACTCCGTGCCCTAGCAGTGCAAGGGTCAGCTGGCTGGTCACAGACAGGGCATAATTCATCCTCTGTAGAGCCCATACGTGATGTCTCACATAGGGAACATCACTTAGATTTAAGCCAGGTGTTTGTAGGATAGCTCTGCCATGCTTGACTGGGGGCAGAGGAGTCTGGCAGGGAGGTGCTATGCCTACAGAGGCAGATCCAGGTGGCAGAAATGACCATGCAGCTATTTACCTGATCCAGGGGAGGAGGAAGGCAAGTTGCGCACGCACACACACACGTTTTAAAAACAAAAGGGTCAGGAGAATCTGAACCACCAAACTGTTCCACTGCCAGAGGCAGAAAATCTGGTGGCCTGAGCTGAAGACTGGAGCTTAGTCCTGGAGTTTCCAGCAACAATATTCCACCTCCAAATTCCACCGTTGAGGGGCATTAGCCAATGAGGAGAGAAGCTGTGCAATAGAAATAGGTCATTACTCCATGTGCATATCTGAGGTTCTTCGAGATGGTTGTCCCTGTGGGTGCTCCACTTTAGGTGTCTTGATACCCTGTGCTTGTAATCAGAGATTTGTGGTAGCTGTGCCTAGTTGGGCTGCACATGCACTGTAGCCATCTCGCACCGCATCGAGCGTTTACCTAGCATTGCGCAGACAACTGTTCCCCTGTTCTTTCTCTGCCTCAGAGAATCGGCCTGAAACTCCAAAGTAGAGGGGAGGAGGGAGGGTAATGGAGCACGCACAGGGACACCCATCTAGACGAACCTCAGTTACTGCACAAGGTGAGTAACCCTCTCTTCTTCTTTGAGGAATGCCCCTGAGGGTGCTCCACTTTAGGTGACTGTTGAGCAGTGCCCCTCTGTGGAGGGGAGGGGCTTTGGAGTTGGTCTATTGATAGCAGATAACACGCAAGTCCAAAGTGAGCATCTGATGCTGACTGTTGTACTAAAGCATAGTGTTTAGTGAAAGTATGGACTGATGCCCAGGTAGCTGCTTTGAAAATGTCAGTGATGGGCCACAGATGCTACCAGCGCTCTGATGGTGTGTGTGCAAACTCCCAGTGGAGGTTGGAGGTTGTTTTGGTAGCACAAATGGATACATCCAGATATCCATTTGGATAGTCTCTGTTTTGAAATGGTCTGAACCATCGCGCGTTCTGTTATGGAAACAAATAGTCTACGTGATTTTCTAAATGTTTTTGTTCTTTCAATGTAGAAAGTTAATGCTCTGTGAACATCCAGTGGAGTGAGGCCTCCCTTCCGTGCGCATGTGGCTTCGGAAAAAATACATGTAAGTAAATGGATTGATTTAAATGAAAGGGGGAGGCAACCTTGCGTATGAACTTTGGATGTGGTTGCAGGATTACTTTATCTTTAAAGGATGTTGTATAAGGTGGGTGTGCCATTAGGACATGATGGCAATGACGAAGGCCACCTTCATGGAGAAGGGCAACAAAGAACAAGTTGCAAGGGGTTCAAACGGTTTTCCTGTGAGTCTGCACAGAACAAGGTTGAGGTCTCAAACGAGTGTAGGGTTTCTTAGTGTGGGATAAGTGTTTTCAATGCCTTTAAGGAAGCATTTAATCATTGTGTGAGCAAACACAGTGACCCCGCCCACCTTGTCATGGAAGGAGGTAGTAGCAGCCAAGCTTTTTCTGATGGAGCCTGTGGACAGTCCCAATTTTTTAAGTCCTAATAAATAGCTGAGGACCCTCGTAGGGGAAACGACTGTGGTACGATCTGTTTTTCTTGGCACCAGGTGCAGAATCGTTTCCACTTATGGATATAGATCTTTCTTGTGCTTAGTAACAGTTTTTTACTGAACAGTTGGAGACTCACCTTCTCATAACTGTTGTTCTTCGAGATGTGTTGATAATATAGATTCTAATTAGGTGGGCATGTGGCGTGTGCACAGTCGTTGGAAAGTTTTCCCCCTAGCAGCACCCGTCGGGTCGGCAGTGGAGCCCCCTGGAGTGGCGCCTTCATGGCGCTCAATATATGACCCTGACGACCCGGCGCCTCCTCAGTTCCTTCTTGCCAGATACTCCAACAGAGGGGAAGGTAGATGGATTTGGAATGGATATGAGCAACACATTTCGAAGAACAACGGTTACAAGAAGATGAGTACCAGTTTTTTTTTCTTCGAGTGATTTTATAGAATCTTAGATTGGAGCACCGCTCTGCCGAAGACTGCATCATCTCTGGCTTACTGGACGATGGCGTAATGAGAGGTGAATGTATGCACCGAGGACCAAGTTGCTGCCCTGAAAATTTTTTGGATCGGGACCTGGGCCAGGAATGCTGCCAATGAGGCTTGGGCCCTTGTGGAGTGTGCCGTAAGTGCTGGAGCTGGTGTCTTGGCCAGCTCGTAGCACATGCGGATACAGGACGTGATCCAGGAAGATGTTCTTTGAGATGAGACCGGTAGTCCTTTCATCCAGTCCGTTACCGCAACAAACAG